TCTCTCTGCCCGGGCTGGCTTTGAACCGCGATCCTCAGATCTCAGCCTCCTGAGTAGCTAGGATTACAGGCGTGAGCCACCAGCGCCCGGCTGAAAGGTACAAAATTCTATGCCATTTAGTGTATTTACAGAGTTGTACAACATCACTGCCACCAATTTTAGAATTAACCAGTAATCTTAACTGTGACTTGATCTGAAGAGAATGGCTAACTAATACCACTCCCAACTAAGCCTTCAATAATGTTATAAAGGGCAATTTACAGTGTTAGCACTTCTTTCTCCTTTCTCTGGATATCACATACTCTGAAACAGGGGCCCCAGGTTATTTCTTATTTAATTATCATCTTGCTTTCCTGAGGGAGACAGGTCCTCAAGAGACTATTCATATACATTTTCAACAGGGCCTTGGGCTCATCCCCTACGTTCACTTATAGTTTTTAACCTACTTGGCATTTTGGGTCTGAGATATCTACAGCACTTCAGATTCTAAAATAAATAATAATCATAAAAAAAGTCACAAACCTTATGTTTCCTCTTGCCTTTGTTAGAAACTTTTTCTGAAGTTTGCTTCTGAGCCTCTCTTGTGTGCTTTTCTGGCACATTTTTCTTTTCCCCCTTGGGTGGCTCTGTTTCTTTGTAAGGCTTTCCTGGTATTCTAGTCAAGAGATTCAGGTCAATCTTCACGATAAGTGGATACCTGTCATCAGGCTCACTGAGGGGTGAAAGGAGTTCCTTCTCTTCCATAGGAGAGAACATTCGTTGCCGAAAAAAACTATCTTCTTCCTCCACAGAGGAGGGCTTAACAGGAGTCCTATTGCTGTCAGGGTACTTAGGAGTTTGTGAGGAAGGGGGAAGGCTCTCGCTTTCATCCGAATCTGAGGACGAGGTATCTGTTTCTATGATTTCCCGTGACTTCTGGGAAGATTTACTTGTTGACTTATATTTCTTTTTCTCTGCTGTAGGCCGAGGAGAAGATTTGGACTCTTTTTTTATATTCGGCTTCCTTGAGCCTTTGGTGGCTGCTTTGTGTCTGCTGGAGGGGATGCTAGTAGCCATGTCTACAGGGGTCTCACTTTCTATCTTCAACCCGCCACGAGGCTCTTCAGCAGCTGCTTTCTCAGCTTTTTTGGGTTGTTTTTTGCCTACAGTTCTCCTCTGTGTTGTGCTGTCACTTTGTGCAGGAGATTTCTGCCTGCTGCGCCCACTTTCCGATCCCTTTTGGACAGTTTTGGAGTCTCGTCCTGGAGTAGCAGAACTTGTTTCTTTAGGCCCACCCTGATCAGTGTAGCTACTCCCAGTCCCCTGTTCTCGGCCTTCTTTTTTGTAGCCTTGAGATGATGGTATGTTACTATCTACAGAGGAAGCTGGTGACACTTTATGTGGATTCACTTTATTCAACCAATTATCAAGTTGCCATTTATTTGTTGGTGGTGGTTCGGGCTGAAAAACAGAAAAACGTATGGTTTTCTCAACATTGAAGCTTTCTTCTTCACAAAGTCAAGGGAGAGGGGAAAAAAATGTAAAGCCCAAGTTAACAAAAGCATGTGCTTTTCAAAGTTCTAACTAAGACCAAAGCATGGGGTGAAATATTGATCATTAGCTCTAATAACTCAAGTAAACTTAAAATATTGCATGTGGCCTTTATCATTATGAAAAATGACTATATACTAATGATTGTTCTAATAAAACATTGTGGTATCTTTTTTTTTTTCTTGAAAAAATATTATGAGCCCAGTGCCAGTGGTTCATGCCTGTAATCCTAGCTACTCAGGAGGCTGAGCTCTGAGGATCACGGGTCAAAGCCAGCTTGAGCAGGAAAGTCTGTGAGACTCTCATTTCCAATAAACCACTCAAAAAACCAGAAGTGGTGTGCTATGGCTCAAGTGGCAGAGCACTTGCCTTGAGCTGAAGAGCTCAGGGACAGCACCTAGTCCTAGAGTTCAAGTCCTATGACTGATTTAAAAAAGAAATTATGTATTGTATTTAATTCCAAGAAGTGAACAATGTAGGTAACAATTAAGTTTTGTAATTTTATTTTATTTAGGTATAATTATGTCATATAAGGTCATTTTATTCAGAATAACTACAGAATGTGAATTCTGACATTGAGACAAAGAATAATGTAAAGGTCAACATAAAGGCCTGTAGACAATCTGAACTCAAAACAGTTACTAACCTAGGGAAAAAAATGTATGCCCAAATAAAAAGGAAATCAAAATACTTAAGTTTTCTCTAAAACATATATATAGTTCAATGGCCTTTGTCAGACTATGAAATCTTTTCCCTTTTCCTTTTACATTTGAATCCTATCTTAAATGGACATTGCCCATGGCCTGATGAGAGCATCCCATAAGCTCCCTTCTCACCTCCGGAGACGCACTCTGGGATGGCTCATTTGCCTCACTGTCACTGGAACTACTTTCACTCTCTGAGTCAGATCCAGAGCTGCTTTCAGATCCACTGTGGCTGCTAGAATCCTCCCTGGAGTTATCTGCTCCTTCACTATTATGATGGGAAGGTTCAGAGTTACTGAAGGAGACAAAACATAAAATGACCAAAAGATTCTTATACAGTGGCAACAGGGAAACATTCAAATCTGAAAAGTAACTTTATGTACAATCTTTACATAAGCTGTTACAATTCTACAATATAGACTTCACTATAAAATAAAATAATTTTCCTTAAAAAGTTTCTTATGGGGGCTGGGAAGGTAGCTCAGTGGTAGAGTGCTTGCCTTGCATGCATGAGGCCCTGGGTTTGATTCCTCAGCACCACATAAGCAGAAAAAGC